CCCATATTTTCCTACGGACCCTCTGGGACCATCAAATTATGGGTCCGGGTCTGTTTACCCAAAATATTGACCGAAGTCAACTTAATTTATTTTATAGTCAAAATTTATTATTTTTCACAGATTTTCACATAAAGGCTTTCCGGCTTCGCGCATGGACTGCGTACGCAAAACGAAGTGACGCTGAAGGAGGTTTTTAAGGACTTGGAACATAAAATTCACTTTTAAAACAAGTGATGACCCAAAAGGTCATCACAACACATCTCCATTTGGCCCTTTTGAATATGTGGTTTTCAAACCTTAAATATCTTGGCTTTTGACTAATTAAGCATCGTAGTCATGTTAATTTAGTTCATTGGTTATGTTTTATTAGCACGAATTAGCTTTGGTGTACACATTTAATTATATAAGACACTACTAGTAATCTGGCAAAACCATCCTAAAAATCGATCAAAGTTGGTCGGTAATGGCCAATAACCGTCCAAAACGCGACCATTTACGTGTGGACGGTATTTTGAAGGTCGGAAGGGCATACTGACCAAAGTTTGTCGGAAATTGCCGGCCATTTCCGACCAACTTTGGTCGGTCAATCAAATTCAGAAAAAAATATTGCCGAAGAAACCGACCAAAGTTGGTCGGTATTTTAATTATGTAATTAAAAAAATGCACCATCTGGGAATTGAACTGAGGTCTGTACAGTGGCAAGATACTATTTTGCCACTATACCATTGGTGCATTTTGTTTTAAGACTGTCTTTTATTTCATTTATACTCTTTAATTGTATTTTCGCACGAAAATTTGGTCGGTTTTATTAAAAAATAAAATTACCGACCAAAGTTGGTAGGATTTTTTAAAATGACGGGTCGAATTAACCGACCAATTTTGGTTGGTTTTTTAATATTAATTTTAATTTTTTTTAAATGAAAAACCGACCAAATTTGGTCGATTTCTTGAAAAATAAATTTTGCGGGACTCAAAAATAGTTTCCCGAATTTTTGCGCCAAAGAAAACCGACCAAAGTTGGTAAGTTTCATAAAAAAAAGTTAAAAAATAAAAATATTTTGGAAAACCGGCCAACTTTGGTTGGTTTTTTGGACGGTTTTTTGACCGACCAAAATTGGTCGATCGATCGTGGTCGATTTTTGCCGAATTTTTAGTAGTAAAAATTGAATGATGACGTCAATAACAATAACAACACCTAGTAAAATTTCACAAGTGAGGTATGGGAAGTAGTGTGTACGCAGACCTTACCCCTATCCCGAGGGAGTAGAGATGATATTTTCATAGACCCTCGACTCAAGAAGACTGAAAGAGACAATATATCAGTACCATCAACAGAAACCATAAAAATAATAACATCATCATAAGAACTAGAAAATAAATGAAAAGCAATAACAATAACCACCAGTAAATAAGGCCCGACACTATGAAAAATGGAAGAATAGTATGAACACAATATTAACCACTAGTAGCCTAAGATAAAATCCTATCAGACTAGCCTGACACTGGTACAAAGTAGAAATATGCTCAACTACCTCCTAACCTACAACCCTAATGCTCGACCTCCACACCTTCGTATCAAGGGCCATGTGCTCGAAAATATAAAGTCACACAATGTCTTGCCTGATCCCCTCTCCCCAATACTTCTTAAGCCACCCTCTATCTCTTCTGGTACCCGCCAAAGCTAATTGCTCACACCTCCAAACCGAGACATTTGGGCTTCTCCTCTGTATGTGTCCGAACCATCTGAGCCTCGCTTCCCGCATCTTGTCATTCATAGGAGACACACCCACCTTTTCTCAAATATCTTCATTCCTAATCTTATCCATCCCGATGTGCCCGCATATCCACCTCTATTATAATTGAATGTGTTGACAAAAATTTCATTTGGTACTCAAGGTATTTCTGTATCCCTAAAATACAGATATAACAAGTTCTATCATAATAGTCAATTAAGGGTGTTAAACAGGTGGGCCGGGCTGGTCCGGGTTGGGAAAAATGAAACCGGCCGGGTTTCAATCCGGACCGGTTACAGGTTAAGGCTTACCGGGTCCAGATCCATCAGGGTAAAAAATGAAACGTAAGAGTTACGGGTCCAAAGGGTCGGGCCGAGTTATTTGTTTTTTGTATTTTGTATAACTATTGTAACTTATATTAATATAAAGTAAAAATACAAAGAATACAATGAAGATGAAAAAAAATTGCACTAATAATTTGCAAGTTCTTTTTTTATTTCAAACTTACAAATTGAAGTTTGCATTTAACAACAAGTAAATTAACGAAAAAAGAGTAAAACCAAATTTTTATTGCATAATAATACATCAAATTAATCTAACAAACTAAAACATTAAGCATAAATACGTCTAATAATTTTAAAATAACACAAATTGTCTCAAATCAACTTAAATACAAATTTCTTGAGGATGCTCAAGACAACTCTTCATATGGCTCCTTAAGCTGCCTGTGCCCACCCACTTTAGACGAAGATTTAAAATTAGACCACGGTTCTTGCACTTTACTTTGTGAACTTCTTCATTTTCTTCTACCACCTCAAAGTGTTCCCATACATATGAGCGCACTCTAGAAGTACGGGACATGATTTAACTTGAATTGAGAATATGAATTTGAGAAATGAGAGATATAGTGAAGAAATGAAGAAGAGGGGGGTGTATTTGTAGTTTTTCAAAAGGTTAAATTAGTAATTACAAAAAGTGTTATTTTATAAAAAAATTGCCCAAAAAGGGCTATTTGTACAATAATAACGTTGGGCAACGGCCATAAGGTAGCTGACCGTTGCCAACGTTCTTCAACCTTTAAAAAAAACAAATTGAAATCTAGTCGTTAAACCGGTCCGGGTCGGGCCGGTTAATCGGTTCTATATGGATTTTGGTTGACCGGGTTTGACCGATCCGGTTAACTGGATGAATGAAAGTGAACGGACCAACCCCTTAACCTCAGTAACCCAACCCACCCGGCCCCCTATGTACCGGTCCGGGCCGGTCTAGAAACAGGTTGACCCGGCCCGTTTAACACCCTTATAGTCGATACATGGCAAATATTCCCTAGTAAGCTCTAGGTCAGATAAGTCCACTTTAAGTAAAGAACCAGAAGGTCGGCCAAGAAGCGAATTCCGGATTGGTATTATCGGAAATAGAGCACGTCATCTCGGAGGATGGTACTCAAGTAGTCATTAGTGTCCAGATAAGCTGGTCTTCAACTCAATAGACTCTGAAATATTTGTGATTTGACATTAACTCTTTGGTAGTTACAAACCCACCAGGCATAACTTATGGAACAAGCGAATAATGCTCATAACAGACAGGCGTGATTTTAGGGTGCCATTTTACTAGGTTGACACTATAAATACATCTTTCCCCCAAGATTGTATCCCATTCGAATTATAACTCACACTGTTATTATACTAAAACATCTATTGATTATATTGTTCAAAACATCTCCATCAACAACAAACTTGCTTCAGAAGATTATTAATAAGAAGCTCTTTACTTCTTCCTTATTGTTCTTGCATTGTTCCGATTCACAATTATTGCATTTATTTATCTAATTTATCCTATTAACCAAAATTTAGGCTAAACAATTTGACGCCCATCGACGGGCACATGCAATTCTGGTTGTAATCCAAAGCATTGCTAACTTTTGTTGGTTTTTGCTTGTTATCAGTTTAAACAAGATACCATGGCGGGAGATCTACCAATTATATCTGTTAGAAACTAAGTTGCAGATGGATCTGCCGAGCAGACTAGAAACAAAAGGATGCAGTTGCCACAGCCGAGACCACACTAGACTCCGAGAAATTCACCCCCGGATCATTCTAGGGAACAGTTATCACGAAGAAGTGAAGAACTATAGTTGGTGAAGCATTCGGAACCCAAACAGAGCGGGCAGAGTTTATAGCCCAACAAAGAGCTTGGAATCAACAAATTAAAGAGGCAATTCATGGCCTTGGCTGCAAATGCAAGTGCTAGTTCACCAGCATCATTAAGAGCGAAACTAGTTGGAGCAACTTCAACTAATGTTCCCAGGAGTTCCAATACCGGGGGACTCCCTACAATTTCGGAGCTAGAGGTTAAGGTACAACCGATAATTCAAATTTATAAAATTCAGTATTAACTTTGTACGAAACCCTGATTAAAAAGATCAAGGAGCAGAATGGGCGTATTGATTAAATTCTGAAGGCCCTATCAAGGAATAGACATGGATAAATACTCTCAATAGCTTATACGACTAGAGTCAAAGTGAACAACGTGACAAAACTGAGGATTGAATTAGCACTCGTGACGAAGTTCAGAGAAATGCTCAAGAAAGAAACATTAACTTGGTATTCTCTTTTATCCAAAAATTCAATTAGTTCATTTGCTGAGCTTGCTGATAGCTTCGTTAAGGCACACATAGGAGCTAAGAAGGTGGAGAAGAAAATAAAAGACTTGTCCAAAATCCTACATGGAAGCACAAAGTTACCCAAGGAATACCTACACCTGTTATAGAGAGAAGATGTTACGTACTATTGCACCCTATTTTACACGGGTTAAAATAAAATACAATATATAGTACTCGACAAGGTTACTTAAATTATAGAGTCACCACCTAGTGTTTAGGGTGTTACACCTCATATTTTCGTACATAAGAGTATGTCTTAAGTCAATTGATGTAAGCTTAGAAATGAGATCATCTTTGAAAGTACATAAAGTAAACCAATCATGTTACCTTGGAGGTTACAAATATTTAAGATCATGAATAACAAGTACCAAGAGGGTTGGAATGCTTAGAAGCTAAACAAAATGAAGAAAATAAGTTTCGTCGAAAGTCGACAAGTTGGGAATATTATAACATCTACTTTTGGGGTGAGACTAGGGTGATTAACATGATAAGGAGGTTATGTTACGAGTTATTTTAGTTGTATCATAGTCATGTGTTATATTTTGATTTCAAGCGAGTTGTGGAACAAAAGTTAGCAAAGGTCATCACACGTTACATTCATAAATATGCTGAAAATTAGGCCCTCAAAAGACAGCTGCTGGTACTGGAGAAAAAATTGTGACATCCGTGACATATATGTAACTGGATACATAGGAAATGGTTGGCAATCGAGGACAGGAAAGTACACAATCAAGAGTGGCTATAATTGGAGAAGAGGAAGACTAGATCAATTGCCTTGGTGCAGAGGAATGTGGAATAAAATGAATGTCCCTAAACACAGCTTCATCAGTTGGCTTGTGATGAGGAAGAAACTGCTGACAAAAGATAGAACACTGAAAATGAAAATAACTGAAGATAGTGACTACATGCTATGCGTAGGAAACACAGAATCCATTGAACATTTGTTCTTTGAATGCACATACTCAAGATTGTGCTTGGCTGAAGTGTTAAAATGGCTTGGGATGAATATACAGAACATGGAAGTGACGGGGATATGGAGAAGGATGACTAGAATTGCAAAAGGGAAAATTGGAAGATCATTTACGAAGGCAGTTCTGGCAGCAGTCATATATCATATATGGAAAGCCAGGAATGAAGCTATATGGAGGAAAATAGTACCTCGACCACAAGTAGTGTTAAAACAGATTCAACATGCATTCAAATACAGATGCTTGGAGATAATACAGAAGAAGAAGAGCAAGGGAAATATGAGCTGGTTTGAAAAATTATATAGATAGGAACAGAAACATTTTGTATAGGGAAATGATAGATTTGAAATATAGTGAAGGTATGGAATATTAGAAGGATAGGAGAAGTGAAATTGTATATGTGTATTTTTGGCATGATTAAATAAAGATTTTATTTTCGACCAAAATAAATAAATAAATAAATATGCTGAAAATTAGGTCAAATGTAGCTGAATTTTCCTCCCAATATTATTGGAATTACGAGATGATACACCTCTAAAATTGAAGATCCACGAGTTTAATTTCTAACTCATTAAACTCTTCGTCGACACGACATCGTAGTAGAGAGATATTCGCATTTTCGTAAGACTGCGCAAGTAACTCCCAATGGTACCCACTTAGGCGGTAGATGTTTTTCCAACCTTTAAAGAACGGGGAAAGGCTCATTTGAGTTCATGTTTTCGACCCAACCAGACCCTATATTCTCCCAACATACTCTCAAAGCAGTCTCCATGATTCTAGAGATAAAACCAAAGAGAAAAACATGAATCAAATGCTAGAAATTCCGCCGTGCTAGTGAGTATCTTGTTCTTTTTGTGGTTGCTGATTTTGGTGTGGTTCTAACTCGTGTGAGGGTTTTCTTAAGAGGTACAAATTCTGGAAAAATACTCTCTTGAGGGTTTCATATCACTCCTAAGTGATTTCAAGTATTTCAAAGCGATTCTAGTGATGAGAAACCCGAAGTGCTTGCTAGTTTCTCTTCCTTGTTGTTGTGGCTGCATTGGAAGAATACTTTGTGGTGAAGTAATCCCAAATTTGATTTGTTCCATGTGTTTGAAGGTAAGGAACCTCTTATTCTACATGTATTTGAGTTTATCCAAGTTACATCTAAGTCGTTGAAGCTAGAACTTGTGAGATATCGATCGAAAGGCTTGTTAATAATGTTGTTGATTGTTGGACTATTTGGGAGGTGTTCTTGTAGTGTTTTATGGCTGGAAAAGTTATAAAATAACCTGAGTATATTATGGTTTTATTATCAATATTTCCCTAAATATAAATAAGAGGAAAATGGTTCAAAATATAGTGTTATTAGACATGAATCGAGCTTGTCGCTCGACGTGTTATTGTGATTGTTGTGTTTCATATAGCTACTAGTTGTTGTTTGGGTTGTTTCTGCAATATAGGACGTGGTAAATGTAACAAAATCGTAGAAGATGCTGCCCGTTTTAATATAGAATGAGCTTGCCATTCGTTGCACGTTAGTTGTACCTTTCATAGCTTAACGATATCATTATTATCGCTGTTGTAGATTAAGGTGTGACGAGACGAGTTCAACATGATTATTGGACAAATTGTGATAAGGTATGTTAAGGCTAAATCTTTCCTTCATTTTAGCATGAACCATTAAATACATGTGTTTGATAACGAGACATAAAAAGAAGTTCGTATTCCTGAATTTACGTACATTATCCTAGTCTCATAAGTTATCGTATTCTCCCTTACCGGGACTTTATATTCAGTTAAGTATTNTATATATATAGTATTACAGTATTTTCACCCCATCGAGCTATAATCAGTGGGCATGCCCCTAGTGGGCAATCTATGATCAGATGGTAAGTTATATACCGAGCCTACTATGACTGAGTGTCTATAAGCGAGCCTACTGTGGACGAGTTCCTATGAGCGAGCCTACTTCGGAAGAGCTGTTACACGTATCGAGCCTTATATGGCTGGACAACTATTTTACTTACTATATTGAGAGAGTTTGAGTTCATATCAACAGCTAAGCATATCTTCGGATCATCTTTGACTCCAGTTACTTTCAGTTATTATATTATCAGTTTTGTTTCAGCTTTCAGTTATTCAATTGTCTTACATACTAGGTACATTATTTCGTACTGACGTCCCTTTTGCTGGGGACGCTGCATTTCATGCCTGCAGGTCCTGATGGACAACTAGATAGATCTTCCCACTAGACATAGTCAAATATCAGCTTGGTTGTTAAGCTCCACTTCCTTAGAGTTACCAGGTCTAGACCTTGGAGTCTATTTTATATATACAAGTTTGATGGGTAGGTCGAGGCCTTGTCTCGATTATAATACAGTTTAGTTTTCTCTAGAGGCTTGTAGACGAGTTTTGTATATTTTGTATATCAGTAGATGTTCATGGCGGCCTCGTTGGCCTGCACACTTATAAATATCAGCTTTTGGGTATGTTTACCCCTCAGATGAGAGAGATATTAACAGAATATGGCCCCGTCGATATTGATTGGTATTGTCAGCTTGCAGGTAGGCCTCATCGACCTATGTTGAGGGTTACTCCTCCAGAGTTCACAGTTAAAGAGTGGTACGCTCGGGCCAAATATAGCATCGGGTGCCGGCCACGCTTTTCCAAAATTGGGGCGTGTCATAGGGTATACTAGTACACCTAAAATAATGATGTGCAAGACTTCCAATTTTGTCTGCAAAACTTATTGAGATTCTAGATAAGGTTTCGGTTTCAAATTATCCAAAGGGAATGGGTTAGGCATCCTTAAGATCCACAAATGTATGATTTCCGATTGAACCTAATTAATTAAAAGGGAGATAGTTCAATAAGAATAATTTGTGTTATGTACTTGCAAAGAGCGAATTTTGAACAAGACAATGGTCAAATATGTAATGAAATATATACAAGAGAGTGGTCAAAGTATGTGAGAAAAAGGGCTGAAGCTTTTTTTCTTTTTAAAAAGAAAGAACGCACAAAGCGTGTATATCGACAACTACACTGGAAGATTGTTAACATGGATGAAATTGACAATAGAGAATTAGTTGTGCATTGTTTACCTCGAAAATACGAGTAACAATTAAATTTGATTAGTGATTTTAAAGATATGTGATTTAGTTCAATACCAATTAATAATCAAGAAATATGAAGTACAAATGAAAGATAGCAGTGAATAAATCAATGTTACTTAGCAGCAGTGACCTCGAGGTAGCTTAGAGCAGAAAGAACAATTAAATAATAAAAATAAAGCAAGAACAATGGAGCTAAAGGACAATGCCGATAAATAGTAAGCAAAAAGGCAAAGCGTATATTCTTTTCTCAGTGATGATAATATGTCTTACAAATTATTGGGGTTCCTTTTATATAATAGGGGAGACCTAAATAAGGAATATTTCCATTTAGAGTAAGAAATATTCTTGGTACAGCTGTCTAACCGCCTAGTATGAATTAGTACAGTCATCTTCTGGGATTGCGCCATGACTTTGGGGACGTGGCAGGAATCCAACTCATTCTGGTACAAATCCACAACGGTACTATTTCGGGGTCGAACACAGTCGACCTCGGAATGCATCGCGCTTCGCCTTCGAACTCGGGCCTGGTCCTTCGAGCTCGAACTTGATCTTACCCAAACTCGGATGGGCCCTCGAACCTTTAAATCGGAGGCATACAATTTTGACTATATAGTCCCCGCGTTTCTTAGAGTAAGATGATAAGAAATGATTCGAACCTCGATTTTCTTGAACCTCTCATAATGACGTCATGCCCTTGGCGTAGGCGCTTGAAGTGATCGGAAATGTCATGTCAGCATGCTTCCCCAAAATGTCAAATGCGCTCTAGCATTGGTCGGCTACTTGCGCCGCCGATCTGTCGCCACCTTTCTATGAATAGGAGGCTACTCTTTTAAACAAAGAACTGTACTTATTTCATCTTCACCTACTTTTGATCCTTTCCCTTCTTTGCTCCCTTCTTTAATCATCTATTTCCATGGTTCGAACCTATGATCACAAGGTCACATGGCAACAATTTTACCAGTTACGCTAAGGCTCCCTTTTTCAAAGCTTCGATTCGATACAATGAGAGAAGGTCGCTAAATCCTTCCCGTATTAGAAAATATGCGAACTTTACACTGTTGCTCATCTCTCTTAACTTCAACTTGGTGTGGCACTTTATTCCTTTTGCTTCCCATGGAATGAGGTGACACTATCATCTACTAACTTTTGCATCCCACATAGGAACAATGTGCCAAGGAAGAACATTCTTGGATTGTTGCTTGTACATCCCTCGGCCCTTTTGGTTTTTCTTATTGTCACGCCCCAACCTTGGGAGGTGCGACCGGCGCTCAATCGAGCAAACCCAACTGAGCAAGCCTTATCAAACACTTCCTACCCAACTCGATACAAATAAGGAAACCATGCTATCATTCATTTATTTAGACGAGGAAAGATAGTGCATTCTACAATGTTATTTTTTTTAAATCACAACATTAAACCATCGATAAGTTCCAAGATTTCATACAAATACACTTTAGAAAAGCGAGAATTAGAATTACATCATAGTTTGTAGACCCATCCAACGCCCGTACATAACCCACACATATGTCTACGGAGCCTCTAAGGATGTAAAAGACAAGTATGACAATGCCAGCAACAAGGCCTCGGCTATACCTCAAAAGTAGAAGTCTACAACAAAAGATGTGAAATATAACCCCTTGAAGGAGAAAGAGGCTCACCAAGACTTCGTGAAGAAGGTACTTCGCTACGCATGATCGACACTATTTGCAATGGAGCCACCTACATTCATTTAAAAATGTAGCGCCCCCGGCAAAAGGGACGTTAGTACCATGGAATAATACTAGTATGTATAACTAGACACCATCTAGTTAGAAAGAAATTTCATACCAAACATGCAGAAATCACAAGTATAACTCAATAGCTTTAAACGATCACAACATTATCAATGTAGAAGAATCATGCAATTTTTTGCATTATGTTTCCATAGCCTTTAGTTTGGGGCATTTCATACTGTTCATCCTTGTTCTCTATACCACCGCTAGCTTGAGCGGAGTCCTATCTCGACCCGATCGGCTAGGTTGCCTTATTTAAGACATACACCTCAATCACAATCATACTTCCCCTTTTTATCCGGGGTTCAATATCAACATATTACCACCATGTGTGCGGCATGACGTCCGATCTCGGCCCGATCGGCTAGGCCTCCTTACCAAGGCATTTTCCCTTTTCCATCAATCATCTCAATTCAATCTTTGTTTCACATATATCATTCCA